CCTGGATGGAAGGAGTGGAATGGCATCACCACCTGCTAGAGGCAGAAGCAGGAGACTCACTACAAACGCTGGAACTGGCTGCGGTGGTTTGGGCGGTACTTAGATGGCAAAATGAGCGGCTCAATCTGGTCACGGACTCTTTATATGTCGCTGGAATTGTTACGCGAATAGAGGGGGCGAGGGTTTGGGATGTCAAAAATCCGCGGTTGAATGAGCTCTTACGCAGGTTGCAAACCGCTTTGCAACAACGGTTGTGCCCGTATGCTGTGATACACATCAGGAGTCACCTGTGGACTCAGGGTCTGGGCGAGGGTAATCACAGGGTTGATCAATTGGTGGCCACAGCTGTGCCCCTTAGTGATTTCGTTAAGGCTAGGGAAGTCCATCACATGTTCCACCAGAATGCTAAGGGCCTTAAAAGTCAATTCAATGTAACAATGGAAGAGGCTAGGGGAATCGTGCGCGCCTGCCCCGAGTGCAGCCATCATGGACCGGGGTTGGGCATTGGGGTAAATCCGCGTGGTCAAGGCCCTTGTGAGCTCTGGCAAATGGATGTTACCCATGTCCCGGAGTTTGGCCGCTTGAAGTACCTTCATGTCACTATTGACACATTCAGTCACTTCATATGGGCAACTCCCCAGGCAGGAGAAAAGGCGGTCCATGTAATCCGTCACTTGACGGCCTGCTTTGCTGTAATGGGAGTGCCAAACAAACTGAAAACAGATAACGGGCCTGCTTATATAAGTGAAAAATTAAGAAAGTTTTACCAATTGTGGGGTATCAGTCATACCACAGGTATTCCCCATTCACCTACTGGTCAGGCCATTGTGGAAAGGGCTAACCAGACTCTAAAACGGTACCTACAGAAATTCCAGGACATCAGGGACATTCAGGAGAGGGTGTTAAAGGTTTTATTTGTATTGAATTATCTCTGTGTTTTTGGGGAATCGGAAGAAGTACCAGTCAAAAAACATTCAGGAACATCCAACAGAAGTAATCCCCAGGAAATGAAGGTTTACTACCGAGATCCGTGCACGGGAAAATGGGAGGGCCCAGTTGAGGTACAATTTATAGGAAGAGGATATATGTGTGTTATTACCCCCTCAGGATCACAGTGGGTTCCAGCCCGGTGGACAAGGCCGGCCATCGGGCGATCGCCAAAAGCCGACAACAACAGCAATGAAGAATCTCCAGTTAGTAACAGCTCTGATATGGGGCCTGCTGATGCTGTGTCCACCCAGCCTAGGTTTCCTTGCACGGACCGTCTTTGACCCACAAGAAAACGTTTGGGTAACTCTAGGTCGAGCCGCTAATACCACTACTTTTTGCGCCAGTATGGCGAGGCCTAGTGCGCCTTTTATAACTTGTCTAATAGGAGTCCCAGTCAATGAGTCTGACTGGAGTGAATTAAAGGAGTCACTTAATGCCTCACGGGTATGCAAACGAGAGTTATGTAAGAGACAGAACAGCTTTACAGAATGGCTTAGCAAGTATGACAATTGGGATGACAAGTTTCCTATTGGGCCCGAACCGCAAGAGATTGAACTGATAGATTCCCTGAATGCCACGGCATGTATTTATATTAATGCTTCTAAGTATGATTGTAATGAAGGGTCAGGAACGCCATGTAATATCACTGTCAATACAGATGTCTTCCCACATGGTAACCAGTCCGAATGGCAGAACCAATGGTGCGCTTCAATTCAGCGAAGTTTAAGTAACCCCGCCCCAGGTACCACCTATCCGCGGGGAATGTCTGAGCCTCTCCATGTTACCAGGGAGTAGCAAAAACACTGCCTGCCTTAGGTGTGAACAGGTGGACGACCTGCTCAGCCTGGTGGTGGAGCTAAAGGAGGAGGTAGAAAGGCTGAGGGCCATCAGGGAATGTGAAAGAGAAATAGACTGGTGGAGCTGCGTTCTGCAGTCTTCTCAGGAAAGCCACTCAGAGAACCCCCCAATTCAGTCTGTAAATCCAGTACCCTCTTGCCCTAGGGCAGAGGGGGCAGAATTAACAGTATCCAGGGACGATCAACAATGGAAACAGGTCCCTACTCGAGGTGGCAGGAGAACCCTTCCACAGCCCACCTCACCTCCACCAGTGACCACGTCCAACAGGTATGAGGCCCTGGAACTTGGGGATCAGATAGAGGAGGTCATGAACCAAGGCCCATCTAGGGGGCTGTCTACAGAGAGGCAGTCAGGTCCATGCCTTGAGGCTGCTCCCCCTAAGGAGAAAAGAAGCACCCGGAAGAAGCGGCGGGTGATCGTCGTGGGTGACTCCCTGCTGCAGCGCACGGAGGCACCGATATGTAGACCGGACCCCTTATCCAGAGAGGTCTGCTGCTTGCCAGGGGCCCGAATAAAGGATGTTACAGAAAGGCTCCCAAGGCTTGTCCAGGAGTCTGACTATTACCCACTGGTACTGTTTCACATGGGCACAAATGATGCCACGGGGAAACTG